ATTTTACTTCTCTTTCCCATCCACTCATCCATCTGTCTGTCTGTCCATCTGTCCAACCTTGCCTCAAATCAACAGGCATTAACCTAGCTCCTACCAGATAAGGGGGTCAGAGAGAAGAACGCGGACTGGCCCCGTCCTCAGGGAGAGTTGCTTTGCAAGGGGAGGTTGGCAATGCAAGTGGGGTTGCAGGCTGTGTATGCTGAGCTCCACAGGGGCTCCAGAAGCTGGGGCTCACTGCTGGCTAGGGTGTGCAGGAGGCTTCTAGAACAAGCAGGGAGAAGTCTTGAGCTGGCCCTAGGGCTGAGCCCCTAGGTGCAGCCTCCATCATGTCAGACCTCATGACAAATCCCTTCCCTCAGGTGCCCACACTCCTCTTCCCCTTGCCCCTGCCCTCCTTGAGGTTCCTGCAGACTTCCCCCATGCCTTGCCCCTCTCTCCACCCAAGAAGCCTGCTGCAGGCCTGGGCGCGGCAGCAGCAGGAGGAGCAGCAGCAGGCCGAGCTGCGGCGGGCCCGGGAGCAGCAGGTCCAGCAGCAGGTGGCCCGCTGCCTGGCTGCCTACACGCCCCGAGGAAGCCGGGGGCCCGGGGCTGCCCAGCGCAAGCTGGAGGAGCTGAGGTAGGGAATCAGGGCCACAGCGGGCCCCGTGGGCAGAGGGCAGGGAGGCTGTGCTAGGAAGGGGACTGCAGGGCCCAGGAGACCCAGCCCTCTCCTTCCCTGAGGACAGAGCCTCCGGAGCCATTCTTCACAAGGCAGGTTGGCCAGGCCACTTCCCCAAATTTTACAGATGAAGACACTGAGGCACAGGGAAAAGGGGCTGGTTCAAGGCCACCCAGTTAATAATTATGACCCCTGCAACTGTCGAATGCTCAAAGGTAAAATGTTCCATGTGCACCATCACACTTTCAAGTCTTGTTCTTCTGATTTCCAATGCTCGTTACAAAAATTCAGATATTATAGAATAGTTACGTGGAACAAGAACAGCCCCTATGACCCCACTCCTGAAGATAACCATAGTTCACGGTCAGGTGAAGAGTATTCTGTTTTATTCTCTTCCCATATTTTGACCATTTTTCTAAAAAGCCATTTCATGAATCAGGTAAATCTTTTTTAAGACTCCTAACAGGCCCATAAAGTAGGAAGTATGACCCCATACTTGTAAAGATGGGGAAACTGAGGCTCAGAGAGCTTAAGTAACTTGCTGAAGGCCATGAGTGAGTAGCAGAGCTGGGGTCCAGCCCAGGCAGCCCTTCAGCACCTGGCTGCACTGCCTGTGAGTGCTCGAACACCCACCTGTTAGATAAAGGGCTCCAGCATCTTCCCCCAAGAGCCCTGCCTAGTGAAACGGATGACACAAATGAATAGCATCGCTGATGCCACAGCCTGGAGCACCTACTGGGTGCAGCTGGCACAGGACAGCCCTTCCCACGCCTCATCTCCTTTGGTCTACGGTGAATGGGGTGCCA